GTGGGATTGAAAGTTTAACGTACGCATGTAATGTAATTTGGCAAACACAGATATAGCAATAGAAAAGGACCAGGAAGACTATTACATGATGTATTTTCTTAACTAATGGAGAATGTAAATAAACAAACACAGGTGATCTGTCATGCTGATACTACAACTATTTCCTGGAGTGGAATGGAAGATGCCACCAGCAGCAGGTGATTATTGAAATAACAACCTAGTGATTATTTTAATAATGACCTGTCACCAGAGTGGCACACTGACTGATGGCCACATTTGAAAACTGTTCCATGAAGGCTGCTAAGCAGGGTAACCAGTCATCAATCAATGAAGACAGGTTATTGAGATTGTGTGAATAGAGGATGTAAGCTGGCACAAGCAGAAACTTGCCCACACAATACAGTCAAATCTATACATTGTCAAGTGGCCACCTCTACATAAGGACCTCCTGGCCAATGATTACAAAACTGAACCAATGGCTAACCTCTGCATAAGGATCACCTTCATATTGACATACAGTTATAAACCCTTTCAAGTGACCACCTCTGCCTTGGGATTACCTGAGTATGCACTTTTTGCTGTTTCTTTAAATAAGTTTCTCATTGACACAAGTATTATGGAATCCGGTCCATGTTGACCTTGATAACAGTCACAGGGTAACTGTCGAAAGTCACTGACGAAAGCTAGTCACTGACGAAAGCTAGTGGATACTAGCTGAAACGTCTGACATTTTCAAAATCATATCCAGTTGCTTGAGTAACCTTCATCGATGAGTCACAGGGTAATGTTGACCAGCTCTACCTTGCACTGCAGCGCTATGTAGGTCCCTGCAGTGGAAAGCATGTGGTCCAAATTGAGCTTGTATCCTGAGCACAGTTCACTATTCAATCTTCGTAGTAGTCTGAATGTTGTGACTTAAATGCCATGTTGTATCAGGAAAATGGGTTAAGAGTGCATTGCACTGCTTTGTTACAGTCGAAATCCAAACAATGGAAAGCATTTCTCCACAACTGCAAGCAGCATGTAAGATAGAGAGGGGAGCTGGGATTGGTGAGTCCCTGGCAGTCCATGTTCTAATGCCCTGCTGTACCCAGGGAAAATGTGAAATCCAATGCCCTTGGCCTGACCTCCAACAAATTGAATTTGAAACTTGAAATCGGTTTACAAGCTGCCATGGTAGCAGCAAAGCTCCCCACTATTGTCTGCGGAGGGGTGACACCAGAGGTCGGCTGGGCTTGGGACAAGGGTTACAGAGCTTGGGACAAGGGTTACAAAAGCCTTACAACAACTGTTACAAATCTCCTGTCAATCAACTGTCACTGACAGACCTAAAACCACCTCAGGGCAAATCAGTTGGGAGCCAGAGAACTTTCACCACTCAAACCATCTCTTTTTTGTTTCTCTGAGTCTGAAATCAATTAGTGCTTATAGTTTTAGGGGGACACACCTGGCAAGGTCAAGCAGTTTGGGACCAAGGTCAAAACTCCGTGCTTGCCAGGGGAGGAGTGATTTCTGCTAAAGGCAGTAGCCAGACAGAAGGGTCAACCTGTCATCACTGGTATTCACCATAAACAAACATCAGTGTAGAGAGTTGTTATAAGGACAGGGTATGCCCAGAATGTACACATGAACACAGTGTAAGTTTGGACATCTGCACAAGGCCATGACCAATCTATTACATTGTTACAGATCTAGCAAGAGAAAGGAAAAATTTCTCCCTGAAATTGGCATGACCTCCAAAACCTTGTCAACTGAGACACATTTATAGATAGTTCTCCTGATAGGTTGTTTGAAAATGGAAACTCTATATTTTGATGATAAGACTCATGAGACTTTACTTTTGACCTCCTTCCACACCAGCAGGCTATTGTCTCTCAGTTTGATCCAGCAGGTCAGTAATTCATGGTGACACAGACAGTCTATCCCACTGTGAAAAGGTGTCCTAGAATTACAAACTCATTCAAATCCTGGGAATCAAACCTGACCATTTCTGACAGGCTGGAAGATGTTGTGAGTAACCCGTATTTACCCACGTCAAGTTCACTTCGTGCTTGTGGTAGGAGACTCTAAGAAGTCTGATCCATACTCACTAAAACTACCATGACTAGCCTTCTCACTTTGTGATATCTCAGTGATCAGAAGATTGCTAACACCAGGGAAAGGCTAATCTGGTCCAAACACCGACACTTACTCACTAAATGCTGGTGGAGGCTGGAGATTGCTTTAGCGGCACTATCTGAGTCAGAAGCTACTTGCTTCCTCGGTATTTGACACAAGACTTGCCATCAACAGCCATTGGCAGCAATCAAAGGCGGGGCTAATACAAAGGCAGATGGGTGATTTAGCTGAGCAGGGAGGTCAGGGTTCACTGTTCGTGCCACTGGCCGGCACCGGGCATCAATCGATCCGGACCTCAACATCAATTTCCTGACCTAAAAGGATTCGAGGGATCCGCAAAATGATCGCCCCAAGTGAGCAAAATTGCTGGAGAATTCCTGGGAGTTGACACAAGGGTGGGCAGATAGCCTTGGGGTGAGTTTAAGCCTGAACCCGAGCGACCTCGGACCACGCGGAGCAATCATCATTTCTGATAAAACAGACAAGACCTTCTTATCTCAGGGCGGAACGGCGTGTTGTGGCCGGAGAGCATGGAAACGACGGGAAAGGTGAGATTGGAGCTGACCCGTGAATCCACATGAATAATTTCATTCCGCATCATTGTTTCACCCAGATACAAAATTCAGCAGTGATGAAAAAGCTGAGAAACTGGGCAACAATGTGTCATGTCATGCAGATCTTATGGTTACCACGGAGACTGTGCTGGTTGCCATGGTTACCAATATGGCTAGCTCAGATGCTGGTCATATGTTAGCCCTATTCCAAACTGATCATTTTTGTCTATCTGAACAACCCTACAAAATGTAGATATATGTCGTAATGCAACATGTTATAACCAGATCATGTGGTATCAGAACTGAAAGTTCCACTGCAGTACCATAGCAAGACACAAGGGGGCCCAAAATCTATAATCTTTTGGATATTTATACAGCACACTCTCAAGGGGCTTATATATAGCAAAAAAGTGATAATTAGAAAAGAAGCAGCTTATAAGCAGAATATGCAATCAATCTAAAGGACCACCAAAAAGTAGTCAAGATGGTCAGGTGATCCTCATGCAGAAGCAGCCATCACTTCCTTTCAACTTGACCTTGAGATCAATCTGTGGTACCCAAATACCTCCCCTTCCCATCACTCTATTGCATTCAAATACCTACAAATACAAACAAACAAACACACACAGACAAACAATACCTCCGCACCTGGAAGTAAAAAACACAGAAACAACTTGGTACAGCCTGTAACCAGGTTATGACTGGCTGGCTGTTTTGCAGGGTGCTTTCCCTGCAGGTGTAGTGAGTCTGGGCTGTGTTATGTTCTCCTCTCCAGAGGTGCAGACAAAACATGTCAGTTCCAGCCAGGGGGCAGCCAGGCAAACCGCAGGTCTGCTGTCTGTGGTTAGAGACATGTCTGGGGACTACAGTGGCCTGCTGGGGTGAACAGGCCTGGCAGTAATGGAAATGCTGCACAGAAATCATTCCTATGTGCAAGCGCAATGTAGTATTACATAATATCCACCTCATTTTCAATACAGCTGGCAGTTTTGCTTTGGGAATTTTAGTATTTGGAAGAACTGGTATATTGTTTTTATTTCAAAACAAATACAAGCAGGGTGGCTCCTGCATGTGAGGGAACACATCTTTATTGTTCAACATCCACTTATGGTACTGAGGAAAAATAGATTGTGGGTGGTTGCTCCAGACAAGAGCCTCTTAACTAAACTTATTAACTAAACTACTGAATCTGGCCCTCTAGACAAGGAGAACATATTATCACATGTAATTTGCAAAAATTTTTTTTGGATTGGAAAAGAAATACAGCCTTCTATTTGGCAGCCCAAAAGACTACAGGCTAATAGCTGGGTATGATGAATCATATATTGCAGACAACAGAAACAAAGCTGTAATTAGACATCACTTATTTTTGGCTTGAATGAATACAAGCATTTCTGTGGGGTCTTGTAAACTTGGTGCTGATTGCCCAATTGCAGGAATAAGTTAGCCCCATATTGCCATACCAAAAATACCAAACTTGTGTTTTATGAATTTGGCATTTTGTAAAGCGGTTTGCAGTGATGGTGTTTCTCTTTATCATGAAAATTTGAGGAGCAAATATATGTATATATATATATTCATAGTTGTCTGACCATCTGTTGACTTTTGGGCGGTCAGTACCCCAAGGCCACGGTAGATGATTGTGCCTCCTTCTCCCTCAGTTCCATCCTTTCCAAAGTAGCCGGAAGTTAAATGGGAAATTAAACGCTAGAAACTCGGCACAATTACACTGGATCAATGTGCCATTTGCCCAGCCGTGGTAACAGCCCTGAATTTTCATCCGTTCTGCCTTGTGTGACCCGACATGCAAGGGAACATTTATAGATGGCTGCTTGATAGCCAGTACATCAGAGGGATTACCTGCATGTATCTGATGCTGAATATTCAGGGCCATTATCAATACCAGGGAAGGGTCCTGCATTTATGTCGGGGCGCTACGCAGTCCGCCCGCATAGATTATGTGAGTTTCGGCGTGTTTTGGGACGGGGAGATGTTATCTTTGCAAGGAAACCTGACCCTGCACTTTGTTATGCTAGCTCTCAATAACGGCGCAAGGGCGCACCGCATTAGTGTGCCCAAGTACACGAGCTCGAGCGAAACCATTCCCACACGAGAGAGGCAGGCTTTACCAAATAACACTGCGATGGCCTCCTGGCAGTGGACCTCTCCTTCTTTATTGTACCCCGACTCTGAAATAGCCTGTGTTCCACTTTAGAGCCACCATTCTCCCATACGTATAGCGTCGACTAAGTAATAGTTTTTAAAGACTGGCGGACATGGCTGCCATAAATCACCATTGATCTGTGTGCAGCTGGGTAGGGTACGTACCTGAGAGAGCCCCAGATAAATAGACACAGTCTCAGAGATGTAGAGGAATCTGCCATCTCGGGTCAGGGCAAAGACAAAGCCGTCCAGAGCCTGCGGAGAAAATGGATGAGAAAGATTGTTACGCACACGGAGCAAATGTGAATAGCTGCGACAGGCTTATGGAGTGTGTTAGTCTCCACTTACCTTGACCTCCAATCTAACCTGAAGTTCTCTTCCAAAGAGGAACACATTCAAATATTGTTACCTACACAAGTGGACAAAACAACATAACGTATCAGACAAAAACCTATACACAATTTCAAGATAGAGTGTGTTACTCTTGTTACTAGCACATTCATATATTAATGTTTGTTTTTGATGATCTGATTTTAATTATTGTTCAAATTTTCTAAAAGATGTACAAATGCAACAAATTTCAACTATCTTTATAGCGTTAACAATAAAAATGGCAAAAATGAAGATGCCATAACAATGAAGTGAAATGCAAAGTTGCAATGCAAAGCCTTTAAACTAAAGTTTGCAAAATTACAAGCATCGTTCTAGATTCAGGATGACCAATTCTTACTGAGCCAGTCTGCCAACACTACTATAGCCTGTCAGTCAACAAGAGCTGATAGGATGCAAAAAAGGGCAGGAAGAATTTATTTCTTTGGTTCTCAGAGAGCTGAAAGAAATCAGATCAGTATATCCACTCCCTGAAAGTGTGTGTACAGACTTTTCCCTCAGACCCAATTTTGCACTATTTTTTTTAGAATCCAAGAATCAACTAATCAGATTGATGTGGCCTCCCCCTCATCCATGCCTATCTGACAGTGAAGGATGGGATGTAAAGATACCCTGTGTGGTAACAAGATGTTGATGAGATATAAAGGGTGGCATCTGACAGGGATCAAAATCTGCATGGAAACACTTGCCCTCTAACAAACTAAATTACCATGGGACCAGTCAAATGTCAATTCAAGCTACAGACTATGCAAGAAAACGATATCCACTAGTTATAACAAAGGCTTTTTAAATTGCCTATAGATGTCAAGTGTAGCCTGTACTGAAAAGGGTGCTGTTTTTGCCTACTTTGGGGACATTCACTTCATCTCTTCTTGATAACAATAAAAGACTAGATGTTTTTATTTGTGAGTTCTAAGCTGAGACCTTGAAATGAACAAGCACTTAAGGTAAGAAAACTTTTGCTGGCATTTAACCTTCAGCACACTGAAGTAGCCTTTTGCCTCTATTTCTCTATTGGTTACGGGGTTAGGCATCAGGGAAAAGGTTAAACACTCAGCTCTACATAAACAATCCATCCCTTAACCACCCCTAAAAAGCCAGGCCCATCAGCCCAGAGTCCATTTCCCCTCTGTTCTGTCTAAATAAGTGGTTTAACAGAGTTGATGATGACCATCACCACGAGACATTGCCGGTCCACGGGCACATCTGCCTACGTCCGCGCAAATGACCACTTCCATGTACAGCAGCAGGACGGACAGATGCCCCATCAACATTAATACCCAGCTATTAGGAGCCCCTCTACATTGACAGATTCTGTGTCAAAAAGGGCTGAAAGTTGTCTTAAAGGGTATTGGTCACATTACCTTATTTTTAGGCATTGGTCATATTACAGCATCTTTCCTTCACACTTAGCAATATTGGTCTTGGCATAGCCCACAAATACCCCATCAACATTAATACCCAGCTAGAATAGAAGGGCTCTACCCTAACAGATTCTGTGTCTGACACTGCCAAAAGCTGTTTCAAGGGGTATTGGTCATATTATGTTTTCAACTAATTGGTCATTTGGTCATAGTATGGCATCTTTCCTTGGTACTGAAATATTCCTTTCGGCATAACCCAATCATTTCATGCCCAGTTTTTAAGTTAACTCTACAGAGAGATTCTGTATCCAACACAGTTGAAAGATTCATAAAGGCCACACCAGTTTTATTTGTTGGGTCTAGTCTAATGGAAAAGTCTGGATCTTAACCTTTAGCCTGTAAGGTAGCTCTTTGGCACCACATTTGTATTGGTTGTGGGGTTAGGAAGCAGGGAGGTTAATGTGCATAGTTGTAGGGATTGAATGTAGTCATACTGAGGTTTTGCTTCAAGTCAAGTCTGTTTTAACTTGTTTTCCTGCTTTGTTTTTACTTTAAACAGTCTAGAACCAGGAAATAAATTGGTATGGCATCTGTCCTTGGTGCTGAACACGACCACCCTCTCCATTGGATCCATTGAAACCAATACACAACTACATGTATTAAATGGTCTCTACAATGATAGATTCTGTGTCCAACACAGCAGAATGCATCTGCTTTTTAAGGCATACCTTGGTACATTTATTGACAACGAAAATGCTTTTTTTTACATGGTCACCCATATCAACTGATAGTATATTGGTCATATGACAGCATCTTGATACTTTGATACTTGCTGAACAACATTACTCTTGCAGTCTTGGTATGAACCACAAACACCCCATTGACCAGTGCTTAGCTAAAAATGCTTAACAGGCCCTTTGAATCCCTGTTTTTCTTCAGTTATCCGTCATTTTATAGCATTTTGCCCTGGTGCTGAAAAGCATTCCTCTCATTGGGAACTATAGAAGACCCTCTATTGACAGTTTCAGTATCATAGCTAAGAGTCAATAAGTATTGCTCACTGTTTTATTTCGCTTTCAGAAATTTTCATACTGCAGTACCTTGCCATGGTGCTGAACAGCTTTCCTTTTGGAAATACTGACGCGCACTTTAATATTTCAAAATTTTTCCATCTAATCAGTATTCACATATCTCGAAATTATCACAACGACTGACAAGATCAACATCACACATTGCAACCTCTAAATGGCCAATCATTACAATGCAGTAGTCAACATAAATTTAACAGTAGTCCAACTTCTGCCCCAACTTTGATTGCACGCAAGCATGGTACCAGGTACCTCAGCTACAAGGATTATCTGGGTGACAAATGACCAGGTTGAATTTGAGGAGCTAACAGAAAGACAGGGTTGACCTTGAAGACTTAGCAGAAGAATCAAGTTGCCCTTGAGGAGGCGGCAGAAGGATGTCGGCTGATGATGCCTTGCAAGCTTGTTATTTTTACCGTGAAGTTAACAGACGGGCCACAGAAGGATGGTGTTAGGCACGCAGCAAAGTGTGGCGGGTTGTAAAGAAGTCTGAGATGATGGAAAAGCGTGTCAGAGATCAGGAGATGGCCTCAGGGTGAGGGGTCAAGCTCAGGCAGCGGAATGTGCAGAGGCAGCCAGCTTAACAGTGCCTGATCTAGTAGTGGTAACCAACTCTGCCTGGAGATCTGAAGGTCAGGAGTTCAACACAACAGTTGTGCCAATATCAATAGCCTCAGTCAACACTTAAACTTCTAGGTTTGATAGAGGAAGACCTTCAACTGCCTACAAACAATTCAAAGCATCTTTCCATCTAGCAGATACCTAATAGATATAGTCACCCATACCTTCCACAACTTAGATCTGATTCAGTGCCCAGAAGTGGTCTTCTGGCCTTGCACTGAAAACTCTTGAGCATTTAAGGCCACACCAATTTAATTTGTTGGTTCTCCGATTCGCCTCTTCATTTTTTTCTGATTTGCAAAAAAAAAAAGATTCTGGTTCTGAATCAACTCAAAAATGCTCATATTTTGCCCCCAACAGTTGAGGAAATTCCTTTTCTTCCTAGTTGTTAAAGTTTTTTCCATCTATCAATGCAGTGGTTTGATTAAAAGTTCAAAATTTATACTTTAAATTTTAACCCAGCCTTTTTTCTTGACTTCATGGCTCATATTGTAGCATTTGGGGCTATAATAGGATGCCTAGACCTGTTTTTATTTTTATTTTTTTCGCCCTGTCGCTTCATATTTTTTCTGAAAAAATCCGAGAACCAACAAATTAAAAATTGGTGTGGCCTAACACAAAATCTTTCCCAGTTACCTTGGCCTGCTTAAGTGTTCAACATTTTTCAGCCTGTCCTAGATGTACCTCTACATTAGCAACGTGATTTACAGAGAGAAAATTAGGTTAATGTCAGCTTTAGAACAGACATCTATGCAGATAGACACAGTGGTGATATCTCAAACATGTCTTCTGCTCTGCTAGGTTCAGATAGTACCCGTTATGGAGTAAAAGAAAGAATGATGTATCCTTCAGCATAGAACTGGATTAGCAGTTAAAAAAACAACAATAGCCAGGTAGATCAGAATTTATATTGAAGAATGTTGGTGATAACCTCCGGACTATCGGGAATAAAACAGCCTAGTTTTATAATCCTTTCTTTCTCAAAGTGTTCCAAAGCACCAAACCATCAGCCTTTAAATTAAAGCACCATATTGCACTATGTTATTGAGCCATGGCCCCTGTACAGTACTGCCTATAATAGTACAAATGCTATGATATGGGAGCTAAAGTACATCGTGGTACGCAGGGCTGAAAGGCTCTGATATCTGTTTTCACAGCTGCTAACACATATTATAAGTTATGGCTCTGGCCAGGGCAGGTGCTGTATGATAAGTAGTGCCTGTAAGATGGACTACCCTTCCCTCAGTAATGGCTGATGTGGACGGTTCCGATACTTCTCTACTCGGGTTAACTACGTGTTACGTTCCATCAAATACAGAGCTGATGTATTGACCATGGCTACTTGCATGCAGGCCACACCAGTTCAAGTTGTTGGTTCAGCTCTTCAGAATTAATGGGAATACAGTATGAAGACAGAGCCCAATAGGCTGCACCACCTTTCCTTAGTATAATTCGTAACTGACCAGTTTAATTCACTATTTATAGATTTTGTTTTTCTTCCACTTTTGTCAAATAATTTGATAATTTGTTTGTACATACATTGTATCATTTCATAAATTATCATTTGCTTGATTCCAGTTGTTTAACAAAAATGTATATCATAGTCAACATTAACTGTTAAATTTAAATAGACTTACATCCTAGATTAATGAAGCCCATGAAAAATTCCTGGCCTGCCTTGCATGTTTTTGTTGTTTATGTATTACCCTATCCATTTGTCTTTATGTGCAAATGAATAAAAACAAGCAAAAAACAATTTAATACCTTATCACTGAGACTTCAGGGATTGAAT